ATTCATAGACACGCGGATTTTTTTTTTTTTTTTTAAATAGCTCATAGGCTCCAACATTCATCTTCAAAGCACAGATCAAAAAATAGTTTTATTCATTTCTGGTGACTAGAACTTATTTCAATATCTTGATAGTCAGAATGTGAAGTTTACAAATCCAGACGTTTGCTATTAATAAATGGGAAACCAGACAATGCATTACTGTCCTTTATTCTTTGACAGATATGGAGTCCATTTTCCCAGTTTTTTTTCTAGAAGATTTATATCACGCTTTGCAGACTGTATATATAATATACTATAATAGCTAGTGGAAGAGTGCATAAAGCAGAAGATCTGATTGGATATTTGTTAGTAGAAGTAGGGGTATTTCTTGAGAAGTTATATCCTATCTCAAATCAAACTCTAATCTCCTTTTGATGCCAATGGAAAGTTTCCTAGAAAAGCATCCTGTGGAAAGAAATGTGATTGCACTTTTTTTCTAGCAGCTTATGATTGAAAGAGAAATACTTGTGCCAGAGCTGCGCTAAATATGGTTGAAATGTGCTGTCATTCCACAGATATCTCTTTCTTTTGATTGATGTGTAGTAATCCTTGTTCAGTGCACTACTTTTTCTTGTTTGCTTATTCCATACTGGTAGTTGCAGATGCAATTTTTTAGGCTTTGTGTCTCACCTTCCTTGATAGGAATTGCCACATGGGAGAGGAAGAGAACAAAACTATGGGCATCACCCATAGATTGGGGCTGATCGTGCTCGTTGCTTCTGGAAAACCAGCCTGAGCAACATGAGAGCAGTGTGCAGGGCAGCATAAAGAGTACACTCTTCATAGAAGTGAAGGTTGTGTTAGTAGATAGGGAGTAGCAGGATGTGGCTTGTTTCAGTGGGAGCTGTTTTTATCTCCCATTTGGTCTTGTTGTCAGACTCTCTCTAGCTTGCTGTTAACCACTGAGTTGGCTGGTACAGGGCTCCTTGGGAAATGTAATTTTTTTCCTATTGTGGCCAGACAAGTGACAGAAATGGGCAATGAAGGAATGCTGCATTTGACTGACGTATTTTTGGGAGAGGTTAGGCCAAGAAGTGCACAGAAAATCTGTCAAAAAAATGCCAGAGGACATTTTTAAAAATGTTTTCCTGAGGATTTTGTCCTGGGTATTTTTTTTTTCTCTAGGAGAGAGATGTGTCAGAGATGACATGTTACATTTCTGGATATTATGGATAAAATGTATCTTTTGATAATAAAGAATAGAGAAGGAATCTGAAATGCATGGGTTTGTTGTTATTGTTTCCTGAACATTAGCAGCATGAAATTTGCAAAATAAAATCAATTTTTTGGTAAGTCTCTACGTAATGGCTTTGTCTTCTGAGCTAATTGATGAAGGAGAACATAACAAGACCATTTTTCTATAGCCCGTAAAATACTTCAAAGTGCAGAAGTGGCAACATGCTGTCAGCAGGCCTTGTTTCCAGAAGAGGACAGTCAGGGTGGATAACAATGTGAGCATCTCAGTTTAATGTAAATCAAAACATAATATGGTTGATAATATGGTTACTTGTTAGTAAGAATGCAGTCTGCACTACTGCTGATTTTTAATGTTATTGCTTTGTCAGATGAAGAACTTTTGTATGCAGAATTGTTAATTTTTCAGACAAACAGAGGGCATTATTTTTTCTGAGGATATTCCTCACATGGCTGCTCTTTTACCTAACCAAGATTTCTAGAAATGGAGTTTTTGGCTTACCTTTTTCTTT